GCTGAGTCAATAGTTTGTTGGCCGCTTGTTTTTGATTTGCTCGAAAGCGTTCAAGCACTCCCACAAATGCGCAAGGGACAAGTGCGCCTTGGCACTCCATTGAATGTGTTGCAGTTTCTTTTACATCCTTTCATTTCCCATTGCCTTAAAATGTTGCAATAAGGGGGTATTTTTCAGCTTTGCCAGCACACATTTGAAAAACAGCTCGAAATGGATTTCTTCGAGAAATTTATTTATTTAACAGAAGTGTATAGCCACTACACGGAGTTTACCAAACCAAAAAAAAACTTTCACAATATTTATTTGGAGTATTTTGAGTTTTCGTTTGCTCAGCATTTTCTATACAGACATTTGTAGGAGAAAATAAACACTAAAAATAACTTAAAATTGCAATTTAATGGAATGTGTTTCATTCGAAATGTGAAAAAAATAATCAGAATTCCATTGGTTGGAACAAACCGAAAAACAGTGAGACTTCGAAACCGCTCGGTTGGTTCTTCTTACATTCTGCGCTTTTTATTGACAGTTCAAGTTTTTGAAACTCTATATTATTGTAAACGAGCTGAAAAATAACATATAAACTGCTCTGTTTTTTCTGTGCTAGAGATTCAGTTTCCAGCCTAATTTGTAATACCAGCTCTATTTTCATTTTCTCTCTCTCTCTCTTCACTAGAAAATTTCTCAACGCCAAAGCTTAATCAAATTCGATTATTCGATGTTAAAAGCCTCAGCTGGGTTGACATTCAGTGCCTTCAACAAGTTTTGGTTTTGTCGGTTTCGGCTCATTCGCACGTCATCAGTAATGATGCGTCTGATGAATGTGTGAGTCCTCAGCTATGTTGTTAAGCATCTCTTTTGCGACCGCTACTCGACATCGTTTTTGCCAAAAATTCAGGTCTTTTGGTACGATTATAGCATTGATATGCTTTATACCTAATACATTAACCAAAATGGTTGAGTCGAACCATAGGAAGTGTTGAGCTCATGCGGTATCTTTCTGTTGCCAACGCGTCGATTTTCTAATACTTTTTCTTTAACTTTTTTGTATTACCGTCATTAACAGGGGTGGATGACCGACTCTCATTAGACAAGCTTTGGATGACTTCACGACCTTCATTGAATGTTTTGTGCCATTCAAAGACTTGTCGACGTGATAAAGTAGACTCCCAAAAACACTTCAAGAACATTTTCAATGATTCCGCAGGCGTGATTCAAGCAAACTCGTTGTTAAATTTTTACCATGGTAAAGCACACACTGTTGGGCATGTGGAGATCAAACTTCACACGAAGGTAAATGTGCATGTACTATATAATCCAAACATTTTTGTTTCGATTTGGTTTGCGCGTGCAGTTTAAATGGACCAGTCCGGATCAAATTTCGTAAATAAAACTCAATCAAAATGAGATATTTGGGTTAGATTTGATTATTCAAAATATTTAAAACTGGCTTCACAACTTCGTTCACAAATGTATTAAAGATTTTAAGGGTATTTTGATTTTGAAAACCTTTTCTTATCTGTTAGACTCTTATTCCAAAGTTCAACTGAAAAACTTTTAGTTCATACAAACCGATTTAGGCTGACATAAATTTATAATAATAAATCAAAAGGATGGGTGAGAATTATTAAATTTATGGCATGTTGTTTAAATTGCCATAATTATTGTAATTATATTGGCATACCACCCAGTTTTAAAGTACATTATATCAATATTCTAATTGCATTTTATATGCGCTTTATGCTCTCCACACAGATTTATTGGCTTTGTTGCTTGACTAGCCCATTCATGGTCTCATTTAGTGGTAATTTATGAAAAAAAACAAACGTGGAACGCATACTAATAGCCCTAAATAGGCGGCAAACAACAAAGCAATTAACCACGACAATTTATGACTTCGGCATATTCACATGATTTATGACCGTTCGTTCTTTTCACACCTCTTCGTTATTGAATAGTTGTAGCTCGAGTGTGAAGATTAACCAAAATTTATAAGTTCGTTTATGTGAGGCAATTTTAAATATACTCGTATATAATATAATCATTAAATTAATAAAAAACATATAATATACACATTAAATTAATATGCATAGTTAAAGTTTGCTTCAAAAGAGCTTTGCTTATAATTCGAAATATTATATTAAATAATTATATGAAATCGATTTCTGAAATATTTTATTTATAATTAACTATTGCAAAAAGTGTGCATGGTGCGGAGAATGCAGCAAAAAAACACAAATAGTTTGAAATTCGAGAGAGTAAAAAGTATTTTTGCATTGCTCTTTAGTTACCGGCAAATACAAATTTAATTAAGTAGATAATCGGTAAATTAATGCCTCGTGCGACTGCGTCCTTTTTATGTAAATACTTTAACACAGTTAAATACACATACCATATATCCTTAGCCTCATAAATACTTGTGTAATTTAAAATAATCGCTGCTGACTGTGCGGAAAATTATTTAATACGCAAACACAGAGCTCAAGCATATCGAATTTCGATTTTAAAATAGCCTTGTGGAATTTCTCTTCATCCGTCAATAATATTCGAAAAAAGTGTTGTTTTTTATCTCGGTCAATTTACAGCGCTGATAACCTATTTCACGGTGAAATGCACCAAATTAAAGGCTGCAGCGGTGATTAAACACCGGCATTCATGGAAGTGCTCGGAAATACAACTCGGTGAATGAACAGATTTTCTCTGAAGTCGACAAAAAAAAAAACAATATTTTCGGTATTTAACTTACTTTTGCCAATTTTGTTGTTGCTTTAAGCGTACATTTATTTTACGTTGGCATGGCACTGTTAAATACAGTTAGTACACAATTGAAATCTGTTCAAGGGATTACTCATTTGGTGATGTGGTTTAAACAAATTGCATATAACTTCTTGGCGCAATCTATGTTTTTAAAGCCTTTGAGTCAATATGAAACACAACCCGAATTTCGAACATAATTGTTTAATTTTTTTTAAGGCGGCCATCCCCGTGACAGGTTTCACATTGTCTAGGACAAAAGTAACGGCAGATAAATTAGAATACTAGTGGCTTCAAATCGTGATTAAATTTTGTTTAGTTCAAATTAGGAAAATAATCTGAAATACCTATAGTGAAACCTGTAAAGAAAAATTAATTTTTTCTCTCAAAACTGTTGCTGTTAAAAACTGCAAATACAAAAATGTCAGGCACATAACCATATTGCTTGAATATTAGAATTCCGTTATACTAGTACAACGTATACAGCCATTGCTTTTTACTTCTTGGTTGTTGTGACAATAAACCGTCGTGATTACAATTTGACTGTAATTTCCGTGACGAAATTGACCGCATTTCTTGCATGAAAGAATCCTTGGAGAGATTATGCAAAAATTTTACCCGCAGCACTGAACAAAGAGCAACGCTAAAAGGCATACTTTACGAAGTAAATTGTTAGGAGCGATACAACCCAGTGAACATTTGATTATAAGTATAGATTTTATTGCCTTTGTTGTATTATTCGTACACTTATTTTTGCAATGATATCTTACATATTGAGCGATATATACGGTATAAAACCAACCGAAATTTTAAAATCCCTATAATGTTAAAGATTCTCTCCGATTTTTAATACTAGAACTCATGGATTATCCAATATATAGGTAAAAAAGTCAGCTATATGCACTGTGACTCACATATCCGTAAAGTAATCATCCGATTTGTGTCAAGTTTTATTTCGATGACGTCATTAATGCTCGATTTATAAGATGTAATGATTTTAAAAATGTTACGTATGAGTGAGGCAAAATACTTTTTTGATTCCAAACAGTAAAATAAAAGTTTACTAGCATACATATCTTCAATTTTTTCGTATCAACTTAGAGCCGATTTTATCGAAAATTTTTTAAATAATGTTGAATGGTAGCTGCAACCACATGTCCTCTCAACATAAGCATAGTTAATACATTTTTTTATGTTTGCTGGGTAATTTTGTTTCTGTCAACCAATGTTCAACTACATTATCATCTTATGTTGGTATAAAATAAAAAGGGTTTAGCAATTTTTTTGAAACAGGGGAGGGGTGTGGAATAGTAGCCACAAAAATTATTTGTAAATACACACTGTTTTCAATTTCATAAAGATAATAGGAAGGTATCATGTTTCTTCAGTTCCTTTAAAATGATTCTGCAACTCATGATAGTTTTTTTTACAAATCTTTTTAATTTGTTCGATGTCAAAATGGCTGTTCTTATTTCGAATTGTGTGGTACAGACTTTTTTCAAATCAAATCAATAGATGCCTGTTTCACGTTGTACAAAATATGTATATTGGTTAGAGTGTAAGAAATCTTATTTAAATGAAGCGAGAATACTTTGTGTGGCAAAATGTCATTCCAAAATGGGTATCGATCCATTCTTTCTTCCAGTCGTAGTACGAAAATAACTATTGTAATATTTGTTATTTAGGTTGAAGTTTTATCTACTAATACTTCGCATGATTTTCTTACTTTAACTCTGGTTTACTTATTTACATTTGATGTGACTCTTTTGTATATAATTTTTCGCAAACAAATATAATTTCTTTTAGTGTAAGTAAATACCAATTTTCATGAAAATGGAGGTGTGCACGTTTTTCTGAAATGTTATGGTTTTATTTTGTTTGAGCTGAAAATTTTGACAACTGCTGCGAATTAATTTAAAACTTATTCAGCTATAACCAACACGAAAGTGATAACACGAACATACGAGTATATGTATAACTATATTTGAAATAAGCTAATACTTATACATACCGTGCACAAAATGCAGCATTTAACGCTTTCGCTCATTAGAGTGCAACATTGAAATGGTGAAATGGTTGTACAGCCTAATTTGAACTAACAAATTCGTGTTCATCGGATTCTTTCAGTGATTGCAATTCGTCTTTTACTTTACGGCATTTTAGTGCTCACTTATTTAACATTATACAAATCTGTTGCTCACTGACTTTTTCTCATTTTTCTCTCTCTTCTTTACCTAATTCAATTTCAGCATTCCGCATTCCAGAAACTTTTAGCACATAAAGAAGTTATTGCAGCACTACGACATTTGTCAATAGTTTTTCTGTAGTTAAGACAGTTACAACAGCAACAACAACAGTATCATGTCGATCTCCGATTTCCGTAAGAAGAAATTGCTCTTCCTGTTCAACGTTTTCTTTGGTGAGTAATCGAATCTAATAATGAAAATAGAGTTACCAGAGTAAAGAAATACATATCAACATAGTTTCGTAAATCAGATTTCGAAGCGATTTGCGAAATTTTTTAAGAGTCTATGTTGCAAGTATTTGTGGCCTTTAGTAGATTTATGGTTTCATGGGTGTTTGATAGTGTAGAAACCGTCATTGATGCTGTGAGCCACGTGAAAAAAAAGAATGAAATATTAACTTCTGAGCCTGAGAATGTGACTTTTATGAAGACAGTTTTAAAATTGTAGAGTAAGCCCGACTTTATTTTCAATGATTCATGCAGCATTCACACTTTTTGGAGATTTTTTGAACCAATGATTAATGCCGAATTCATTGTTATACTGTGAGCAGGGTGTATTAGATTTCCCACGTAGTTTGTATCATAAATAAGAACACGGCGGAGACCCTATAATGTATATGCAGAGATAATAAACGATCAGAGTCGTCGTACGCAGTCCCCCAGTTCGATCTAAAATTATATAACACTATAGCATATAGCTGTCATACAAACTGAACGATCGGAATCAAGATAAATATACCCTTTTGTGCTATAAAAATGCAACTGTTAAGTGTATTATAGCTTCGATTACAATTACTATTCTTTTTTATTTAGGATAGTTTAGAGTAATAAGTATGGTAAAGCTTCTTTATGAAACTCAGGAAGTAGCTAGACTATTACCTAGTGTTATTTTCTGTACACAATATTAATAATTAAAAATTAATATAATATTCCTTAAAATGTAAAGCATTTTCGTTTGTTTTCTCGGCGATTAATAATATCCGATATTATTCACAACTAAATCGAAACTGATTTTGAGGTCAGCCCATTCTATTATAAATAAATTACATTTGTACACATATTGATGGCATTTATTAATATTAGTAGCCTTTTTCATAAAAAATATATAAAATAATTTTTAGCAAGGATGGCCACATATGTGCATATATAAGTATATTGCATCTATAGCTAATAAAATAACACACAATTATTTATGTACACATACAATATATCCGCGCTTGCTTTATTTGCAAAGATTAAATTATCAATTTTCATTAAATTTCATGAGTTTGTGCATTCCGCTTGTGGGACTTAGCGTGGCGGGCGTGTGTGTAATAATTTAATTGCTTAATGCACTGACATTTATGGTGAATTTTTAACAATTTTATTTTGTAATAAAATTTCAAATTGACTAGCTTTGCAACTAACAGAATGGAAAACCAATTAATTTTATATAGGTAATTTATTTGATAAACGCGGTTGGCAACCCCACGCGCCATGCGACCGAATACGGTTGGTTACAGTTTGCCTGGTTACAGGGGTGCGCGATGCTTCCGCAGCCGTGGCACTGACGCAGCCAATGTGGCAGGCGGAAGTGTTGACAGCTGTGTGCACGGCACTCAAAATAGAGTTTTGGATTTCCGAAATGGAAACGCGGAAAAAATGTAATATAGACTTTTCCATGCGTTGCCGAACGCGCTGACAGTTTCGCACAATCAAATTGAACAGAGAGATAGCGTGTGGTTAAGTAAACAAAGCTTTCCAGCAGGCACTGATATGGAATGTAGAATTTTTTTTGTAAATAAAATGGCCAAAACTATTACGTTAATAAAATCAACAAATAGTTGAAACATGTTACACCTTGTTAAATAATTTATGGTGGCTTACTGTAAATTCAGAGCACTCCGCACTGAATAACTTTCATTCATTTGCATTGCTTCTTTTCTTTTCATCTTGCTTCTGGTACGTTATGGCGTATGAACAACTCATGACATCACCAAATGACAATGCGCCCAACTATGTGCTCTGCACACAAACAATCAACAATCGACAACAACAATACCGTTGCGCATGATGCAACAATGTACCTTAAAACAACTTCAACAAACTTTCCAACTACGCACTTCGGCGGCGACCACACCGGCACCGCACCGCATCGCTGGCCCGTTCGTCTACAGATGTCAATCAGAGCGGCGAAATTGACGTTAAAGACTTTGAGTTGGCCATTGAGGTAAGTGTTGACACAAACAAAAGGGACAAAAGTTTCGTTAGGAAACTGACTTCCTGAAAGTTATTCTTTCATTTCGGTAGCATGAACGCGTTGACGCACGGACAAAAAGTGGCGCGCACACTGTGCGGCGTGGCACAACACTTGAGCGAAATTTATTTGCATGCAAATAATTGCCCACAAATTTGTAGCTCCACACTTGGACCCTTTTTGTATTTTTTCGTAATGTTTCGACCGCTTTTTGGTTGTCTGCATATTTTGCACATGTTACATATACACTAGCATATTTTTTGTATGCATGTGTGTGTTTATGAAATTCAGCGTTACGCCGAAGGTACGCGCAACCAAAAGTAGAAAAAAAAAACATAAACAAAAAAAGGCTACGTAATTTATGCGTGCGTTTCAGCGTGTGCTTCACTTGCCCTTTATCGCAGTTGTGCGAATTATTGTTATTGCTGTTGTTGTATTGCTCTGTCACTGACATGTTGTTTTTTGTTTTGCTCTTGTATTTGCATTTTCTGTAGCGCGTTTGCAAACTGCGCGGCTGGGCAGAGAATACACCCAAGAACAAGGAGATTCACGCGGTCATGTTGGAAATCTGGGAGGGCTTGCGCTCCAAGGCCGACAAGGACAATGATGGACAGGTGAGTAAACATGTGGCTAAAGGACAAGTAGTAAAAAATAGATGAAAAGGTAACTGTACACGACCGAAAAGAATCGTGTGTGTGGGCTTTTAATATTTTAGCAATTTGCATATCAATGTGGGGCAAATTGAATTAGCAGCACAAAATGTGTGGATTTAACGACTTAATAGAGCCACTATTGTGACACGTTTGAGATAAATTAAAAAAAAATTAAATAAATTGAGTAATGAAATGTGCCAACCTTTTCGATGAACTGATACAAAGTTAGTCAATTCATTTCTGATGTTTGCGGATACTCGCCGTACTTTATCAATTGTTTAAAAATTTTAAAGATAAATTTATACTTATATTAAGAATACACAGGAAATATTTTTAAAGGAAACAACTAAAAAAATGCTCTTTAGAAGATATTGTTTACACAATTACATATCGAATTTTAACTAAAAATTTTGGCAATTTTGGGCATAAAAAAATTAAATTTTGATCATGTCAAAAACCTGGTAGATCTTAGTATGGGGAACTACCATATAAAAAGAACATGCAGAAACAATTTGATAGTGTCCGGATCATTTGTCTCCGGGTAATCACTCAAGCAAATTTGAAGAATGTAGTTTTGAGAAAATGGCAATTAAAGATAAACTGATGAATCTATTTGAGCTGTTTGAAATGTGCGGCTACAATCCGGATGGCTGTAAAAAAATTTTATATGTAATTTTTAAAGATATTAAAATATGAAAAAGTTGATTTTTTTAAAATTTCACACCAGGTGTATACCTTAAGCTTGGGCTGCGTTCAGATTTCTTGATATAGACATTTTTCTGATCTGAAATTTTTTTGGTGACACGATTTTCGCCAATTAAAATCTGACTACCTGTAATGTGTCGCTCAAAAAAATTCTTTTTAGTATTAATCTTATGAATAAATAATTTATAAATTTAAATAAGTATTACGTTTTTGCCAGATGCACGATTGTGTTGTTGGGACGATAGCCTTTAGAAAAAACTTTTTTGTAAACATATACTTGATTTCGCACGAGATTTGCAACTTCATACCTTCGTGTGGTGCTCTCGGCTTAATCAGCAGGCTGCGGAGAATAGTCTTGAGTAAACTTACCAAATATTGCTCTCTCTCTCTATGAAGGATTTGTGCTTTCTTACACATTTTTTCTCTCTTTCTCAAACTTTATACGCAGGTTGAAACCTGTTCAATTTACCAACATACAATTTGTTATTTTTGACAATTTTCAAATATTGAGAAATTTCTTTGCTGGGTAGTTACCGTAATCTAATCGTAAATCGAATTGTCACTGAAACTTTATCTTCGCTCTTTATTTGGGCAGTAAATTTGACTATGCCAACTTGTCGATTTGTCTGCATTTCTTTGGCATTGGCAGTTGCTATTTCACCGATTTCGACGGCACTTCAGCGTTGAGCTTAGTTCCTTGTATGCATTCACATGTATAATATGCGTGTATGCGACTGTATGTGTGCAGTAAATTTTAAAAGCAATTTTGAGTGGACGGTGAGTTTGTTTTGCCATTTTTCATTATGATGAATAGATTTCGGTTCGAATTTTGAATTTCGCAGAAAGAAGTTTCGTGATTTTTCTTCTTCATCTATAAAAATATCTTCATGCGTGTGTTTATGGCTTTCCGGCCTTCCGGAAACTATCTGCACTTCATATAACGGCATGCGTCAGAGCTTTCATTTTTCTTTTATCGAATGCCAGAATTATCTCATATCATTTTTTGTACCCTCCTCGCTCTGCTCATTTGCATTTTTAGCAATACCATTCGGTTGTTTATTCTCGTTTGTTTTGTTCCGCTCAGCCGTGAGTTTGCTTTCGCCACTTCACTGACAAAATCGCATAAATATTTTCTATGTCACAAACCTAAAACTCAATGCTGCGTGTATTTTCCACTGGCGTGTGCTAACCAAGCCCCACACATGCAACTGGCAGGCAAAGTTGCATTGCAAAGCTGCATTGCAAGTGCAAATGTTTGAATAGGTAGCCATTTTTTTGGGGTCCCGTAAACAATTTGCTGGCTCGCACTTGCATTCCAACTGAGTGAGCAGCTGGCGCGTTTCCGATATCGATGCTATCTTCTGTAGGTGCAATGGTGCTGGTGCATGTGTTTGCTGTGATATCAACACGCGACAATAAACGGTTACAGTTGTAAGCGCTGTGATTGTCGCGTTCGGAATTTATGGCGGCTATTTGTTGCACAAATTCAGCCGATTGAAAAATTTTCGAATTGAATGAATTATATTTGTAGAATTTTCCAATTTCTCGTAAATTTATCCTGTTTGTTGCATCTTCAGCTGCATGCTGGCGTAAATTAAGCGGAAAATATATTTTGTTAGCAAAGAAATTTTAAAGTATCACTTTATTTATGCATTCTATGCATTGTACAATAGTTAGTTTTGTGGCATTCCATGGCTTAAAGTACACCTTCTCCCTAAGCCCAGCACTACTTGCCACAACTAGAACATATCAGTTGGAAATTGTCTCAAGTGGTATAGGGAAATAAAAATGTGGTTTATGTACTCGTCTAGGTTCTAGTATTTTATGTATAAGATAGCTATTATTAGTAGTTAATAGCAAAGGCACTGTTAGCTATACGAAGTGAATTTAAAGGGGTGGAACAAAATGGTTAACAAGGAGAAAGCGGCTATTATCCCACCGCCTCTATAATTATGAATTCGGAGAACTTTTGAGGAATCAGCGAACAGAGAAAAGTGGTTTCATTAAAATTGGAGGCGTGTGAGGTGTTTCTGTCTCAGAAAATTAATCCGATAAAAAAAAAAATTTATCACTGAAGAATTTTATTCTTTCTGAAAGTAAGTAGATTAAAATCAAAACACATAGTTATAAAAAAAAGTTTCGTAAAAAAATATCTCGTCAAATGAAAGAGTTTTCATTACAAGCACTTGATCCCGATTGTTTAGTAGTAGTTCGTATATATACAGACAGACGGACATGGCTAAATCGAGTCAGCTCGTCACGCTGCTCATTTATATACGAGTATATACTTTGTTAGAGACCCTACAACCCTACCTCGTTTCCTCAAACATCGTGGTAAACTTAAAAAATCCTGTACAGGGTACAGGGTACACAAAATATGATTCAGCGTTTGAAATTATTCCTATAAACCCTATGGACATTAATTCTCCAAGGGAAGTACTTGATTCCGCTTCAAATGGCTTAAACTTGGCATCATATGAAATAACCATCGCTCTACGGGTCTCAACTTTGATGGCTGTTTCTGATCCCCATCAGAAAAGTTTGCAGTAGTAGTGGTGACCACCAAGGCTTGGGACACAAACCTACCAGTGTACTTCTGTAGTCAAAAATCTTTAAAAAAAAACCGCTCAGCTGTTTATTAACAGTATCCCTTTCTCTCTTTTCAGAGTACCATAAAGGTGCATTCTTATTGTATTTAATAGAAAGAACGTAAAGTTAATAGAGGTTACTCTCTTCTTTCAAGATAAAACATATACATATGTATATATATATAGATTATTCTATAATGTATGTATTAGCAGTGCACTCAGTATAAGGAATTTTTTGAAAATATAATACAGTATATTTTCACCGGAGTTAGCGTAGCTTCACAACGGTGAACGAATTTTTCAAATCCAAGTCAAGCAGTTTTGAAGCCTATTCAGTTCAAACAAACAAACAATCAAATCTTTCCTTTTTATAACATTCATTTAGATTTATGTATGTATGTTAAGTATATAAAATACAATATTATTTTTATAGGTTCTGACATTCAATTTCCAATTTATTATCGCATTGGCAAACTAACTGATGCTGTGAAGGTGAAAGCCATGAATATTATTAATAACAATTCTTTATCACTTTGAGTGCCAGCAGATATGTAAAAGCGAAGACGCTGCTGCAGATGACACCTTGAATGAAAGAATAGAATGAATTATGAAATACGAGTTTTCATATTGCAACTAAGCGCCACTGAAAGGCATAAATCTGAAGTGCTATAACCAAATTGAAACTTGCCGGCCGTGGAGGACACTTGGCTTCTAGTTTCCGTTATGCATTAAGAAGAAGAACGCCTATAGTGCTGATTTATGTGAAAAGAAATGCATAGACAGCTGTGTGGCTTTGAAGTGCAACACACACAAATGAATAAATGTGCATTAATTGCGCTCGCAAGTGAAATTAAAAACGATAACATGTAAAAAAAATGCAAGCAAATTTTGCAAGCGCCGAGCCAGCAAAACATGTTGCACCAAAGTGTTGCACAAACGCACACGCGGCGAACATTCGACATGCACATTTATTGCTGTTAAATTGTGGAAATGCTTTCGGTGACGCTGTTGGTGTTGTTGTGTGTTGTTGTTTTTGAGTTATGTGGAAACATTGTTGGCCATGATTTGTTCTTGGCACAGCACCAGCAACACTCAACAACAGCATGCAGCAGCAGCATGCAGCAACATAAAAACAACAAAGTATGCACAGCAGCGCTCATAACATAGACAACACTTCTGCATTTATGTAGGTGCGCTTATGTCTATGTGTGTTTATGAGCCTGTCGCTGCAACAATTTGACTGCTGACGATTATAGTTATTGTGCATAAAGCTACAAATTATTGTGTCAACACAGCATTTTTCCACCTTTTCTCGGCTCATTTTAATCAACATGCAAATGACAAACGTGCAATTTTATTTTAATTTTTTGCTCCGTCATGGCCAAATATGAGCAGCGCGCGGCGAAGGCGGGGAAGGGGCGTTCCGGCTGTTTGGGTTGTGTTTGCTCAGGTGTTGGTCAAATTATGTGTGGCAATATTTTGTTGCACGCTAGGTGCAAGTGGTAAACGGTAAATGGCGTTGCAGCGAACAATAGCAGTGAATATGAGTAGCTGCAACATGCCACAACAGGCAATGTGCGCGTGTGGCACTGGCAGTGCTAGTTGCAACAGCAATGTTGGTTAGCGGGTAGCCGCCAGCATACCTGTTTGTGTCAGCTATGCTGCCGATTGCGGTACCTGTACTGGTGCTTGTAGTTTGGTTGCTTTCCTGGCAAGAGGCCAAAACCGTGTCAAAGGATATGCACTCATGCATTTTGCGCCTGCAAATATACCTCGCTTTCGTCCCCGGTCTTTACCAGGTGCGTGTGAGCGTATGTATGTGCTACTCCCATACACTCACATGGCTCTCAGTGGCGTTACAACAATGGAACGACCATAAAAAAAGGAAAACAGCCACGTTGTCATAATAACTTTTGCTTATGTTGTTATTATTCTTGCCATTCCACTATCAGCACTGATCCGGTCACCCGCATTTAAGTTAACACACAAAGTGACCGAGCAGCTTGATTGCTATCTTGTGTGTTGACTTTCGGCTTAATAAAGACGCTTCGCCCAGCTAAAAAACGTGCAATGGAAAAAATACACAGTGGGAAATCTGCCGTGCCGTAAACTGATGTCTTCGGTGAATTTAAGAGCATGCGATCTTTTCGTCTTACTGCCCTTACTACAATACAAGTATGGAAAGTACTGTTCGTGTTCGCTCGTATTATCTGTTCATAGATCTAATTTGTCCATATATACTTAGAAGATAACTTGTAGATTCGACTATCTTTCATCTCTTTAGATTGTCTCTTGCGGAGATTATGTCATCTACTCAAATTTGACCTGGACTGACAAAACAAAAAAAAAAAAAATCGTTATTATCGCTTTTAAAATGGGCTGCTTTTGAGCCAATACAACCATGCCAAGGAAAATTCAATTTTTAATATACATGCTATAAGTCTCGGCTGTGCTTTCCTTCAGTGACCTCAGCGAATTTTGGTTTTCTTCGGTTTCGCCTCATTTTTGGAGCGCCATTTGCTAGATTGTTAGACAGTTTCGCCGATATATTCATAAACTCACATCTAGTCTCCAGTATTGATGCGTTTGATGAATGTAGGGTCCTCAGCTACGTTGTCAAGTATCTCTTTTGCGACTTCTACTCGACGTCGATATTGCAAAAGTTTCGTGATATTCCATTCTATTCCATTAAGAACTTAACATTTCAAGCAAAATCTTAAATGTTTTTGGAGGTAAAAATCATTTCGGTTTGACCGTACAGTTTAAATGGATCAATCCGAGTTCAAATAGATCAGATATTGAGGTTCTTTTCATCGAAAAACGAATGATATTGGGACGATATCAGACGAAAGTGATATTGGATCTTAGTAATATATAAAATGCGCTTATTCTTCTCTGGGTTGTGTGGCAGGGTTTTTCCGCGAACTGTTGTTACGTGCCTTAAAGTAATAGTTGGAATAGTAAACAGATGGTTTTAAGTTACCTCAGAACAGTTCGGTTAGTTGTTTTAGAGACTTTATCATTGCAGAAAATCAATCGAAGACGTCTGCTGAAATATAATACTTTAGAAAGGACTTAACATAAAATTGATGAGAATTTTAACACACAGTCCAGCGATTGATAGTCACGTGCTCAAAGCGCTCTCACCGAAACGCATCTCAGTAGAACTGTTAGTGAAAAGTAAAACTTATGGACTTCCCTTAAAACTATGATTTTATGATTTAACGTTTTGATTCTTGCAGGTATTATATATTTCGCGTATTTGCTGTAAAAATGCTAAAATTCTTCTTTATTGCATTTTTTCTTGCTGGGTCAAACTGTATAAACAGGCACCTAATTGTGTCTATATATGCACATACATACATGGATGCAATATAAATTTTATGGCTTTTGTATGCGCTGTATTGCTGTCTTCTTTTAATGTCAGCATGCACTTGACAACTTTGTTGACTTGGCGACTTTCCGCAGTTCGCTCAGCAAGCGGTTAAAGCTAAATACATACTTGTATATATAAAAACATATTTGGCAACCTTACTCACTTAAACTAAACTGGACATGTCTTACGACTGATTGTTTCCGTTTTATTGTCTTGTACTGTTATTTATTAGCTACACACTTGTTCGCTACTTATTTAGCTGGTCATTTCAATTGGTCCACTTTACCACATACTTACCTATGCATCGTTTTGTGCATATTTGTTGGTGTATTTAATTGCCGAAAAGTAATGACCGCTGTTTTTTGCCTGCCATCAAGCTTCGAATGTTACCGTAAATTGAATTGCCCTTATTCTAGACTAGTTTTGTACATATATAACGGTAAACGAGGGTCTAAGTTCCAAATGGCTGCTTGCCTTTAACATAGTCTTTAATTTGTGGTGGTTTGATTTACTCCTCTCTTCTTTTATTTGGTGTTTTATTTATTGGCTCTTTAATGTGCTGCGCAATTTTCTAAGGTGAGTTAGCGGCGGCCGTTACGTGTTCCTCCTTCCGACTCATTAATGTTTTACAAAACAGATAGCGGATAAACAGATTTTTGTTTGAACAGATAGCTAAGCGTTTACTCTCTGGGATCGTAATATTTCTCTTGGATAATTTCTTGTTCGGGCATTCAATTACAGATCGAACTTCAATCAAAACTCCAGCAATGAAACGACGTTTATGGACTTGTGGAAATAGCAAGGAATGAACGACAGTTAAAGTAACGCTACTTAAATACATTCAACTTTGACACCTTTGCTTCAAAGCGCTGATTCCTAGTCGATATCTAGAAAGAAGTTTTGATATTCCCGGTTATGTGGAAGGTGGATCGACTCTCTTCACGTTTGAAACATTTTCAGTTCTATTTTCTATTTCATAAATTAATCAACAGTATTGTAATCACAAGTACAAGAGGTCACTAAATAGAACAGCTTCTAGCTTCGAACGTAACTGGTGACATATGCAACCATAAAGAACTCGTAGATTCTGTGTTTCTACCTGCTTACTTACCCATCTGACTTCCAATGCTGAGTTGTTGTGAAAGAATTTAATAAAAGTAGACACAACAGTTACGACTACATGCCCTTTCTAATATTGAACAAATTCGTTTTTGTTTTCTTTCGATATGCAACCGTGGCATGTGGCCAAAGTCCAGCAGTAAACCATCATAAGCGTTGCCTTATTGGCCCTATTTGTTTTGACCTTGTTAACTCGACTTTGTTGTTGTAGATATTTATTTACAGTCATACATAAATGCATAAATCCAAGTCAATACAATTTTACTGGACACTCGGACATGTGTTAATGGCCGCTTATACGCAGAGCAAGCTGTTATGCTGTGTCGTGCTATGCTCTGCTATGTTGTGGTCTTCGATGGCTCACATTTGCTGCGCCAATTGCCACAGTGGAAATGCTCAAAATCGCGGCCACAAGCACCGCAACATGTTTAGTTGAATATTTATTGTGCCGGTCAGTCAGGGGTGTGGGGCGAATGCGGTTGCTTAGAACATTAAAACATTAGAGGGCGTGTGCGTGTGTGCTCATGTGTTGAAGTTAGCCAAGCGAACACATACATAAATAACCCGATGTTCGCGCAGGAGTTGCCACTGCCAAAAATATAGCAAAAATTCCGACACAACAACAACAAAAACAACCACGAATCGGAATCATTTAATACTTGCAAATGTAATGTGCGGCCATTGCCAAACGAACGGTATTTCACGTGAGTGTATGTGGGGGGGGGAAGCGGCGTTATATTAGGTATGCAGATTTATTGTGGCTTGCTGGAAAAATATTTAGCACACTGATGTAACGGATTCTCGTAGGAAGAAATATGTATGCACCTTTATGGAAGCAATGCAGCAATATTTATTTACTAAGCGTGCAACATTCATAAATTTTAGTGAAATGGCTCTATTGCTCTATTGCAACTGTGCCAGAAAGGGGGCTGCAACCCGCTGATTGAGCGACGTGCAACTACGCCTGCTGAAACAAACACACATATACATTTGAGTGCTTTATGCAGAACAGATTAGAAAATATATTTACGCTTCACAAAGTTAGAGTATTGTTGGCACATTTGCTACTAAAACTTTATGTCTCGGCAGGTTTCCGTCGACGAGTGGTGCAACATGTGGGACGCCTACGCTAAGGATCCCAGCAGCGTCATGGACTGGCAAACCAAATACATGAACTTTATGTTCGACCTGGAGGATGCCTCGACTGACGGCAGCATCGACGCGGAGGAGTTCACATTGGTCTGCTCCAGTTATGGCCTGGACAAGGCCGAGTGCCAAGATGCCTTCCAGAAAATGGCGCAAGTGTGTAACCTTAAACTATATTGGTTTTAAATGTTTATTGTTAATTACTTATAAAATATTTCACTTTGTTTCAAGGGCAAGTCCGAGGTCACACGTGACCAGTTCGCCAACTTATGGAAGGAATACTTCGCAGCGGAGGATGTGAATGCGCCCGGCAATTTCATCTTCGGCAAAAATGCATTTTAACGCTCTAAAATTTGCGTAGCTGGCTAAAGCGCTCCGAGCGGGCAACCCAGCCAGGCTTAAATTTTCAAGATGTTTTTGTGGTCTGATTGCAAATAAAGTATGTACTCTTTGTGATGGTGTGAAGTGCGTTGGTGTGCTGAGGCATGCATTTTGAAGCTGGAATATGCAACTATTAATGAAATGTTTGAGAATAATAAATAAATATATATTTAATAAAGTAATAACAATACAAATTTTAAATGAACAATAATTGAAATGTTAAAAACGCCATGGCGAAATTTTAAGATAGCATAAAAGTAAAAGGAGAAACCGAAAAGGTTGACCTGGTTTTAGCAGAAATGTACTTTATCGCATTAAAATATGGAGAACACAACTTTATTTAGTATATATACACATACATATATATGATTCCTGATCAATGTGCTCAATTATAACTACTCTATAAAGAATATACCATATACAATTGAATCTTAGATTATATCGAATGCTGACGCATACACAAGTACACACCTGTATTATAATGATTCCTTTGGCGTTTAATTCTATGGAATCTCCGGAGTCAATCGGCCGCCAAGAAGCATAAATAGTATGTACGAGTATGTGTGTACGAATTGCGGTCATTCCTGGTATAAAGTGACTAATTCGGTTTTCTTTTTTTGTATAAATGTAGATAAATGTTCACGAAATAATTCTCGGTGGTGAAAATTGTAGTAGAAGTAAAATCTAATTATAAATTAGTTAACTCTTAACTAAATTAAATGTTTCCAAATATAATAAATAAAGAAAGTCTAGAAAAAAACTAAAATATAGTAAAATATATGATGTTTAAGATGAATTGTTTATTAAATGTTTGTGTATGTAGCTAAATTAATTCAAATAAATAAAATTATTAAAACAAAGCAAATGTTTTCACTCCGGTTGAATAATTACAAATAGAGGAATTATAGGTTAGTATGCACCCAGAATGGTGCTCATATATGTACTTGTTTAAGAACTGACGTTTTATAAGTAATAATGAAGTTTTAAATAAGGTCAGTTTGGAAATTTGAAGGCAAATATTTGGAAATAAACTTGTAAACGGAGAAACTACTTTTTATACTCTTGCAACATGGTGCACATAGTAGAATAGTTTTGTTCACCTACCGGTTTTTTTGTATCACCCAAAACTCTTTGAGAAAGATATGGAGTTATATATATAATATATATAAATGATCAGATCAGAGTTAAATGTACATATCTTCCAAACCACTAAAGCTATCTGAACCAAACTTGTTGAGAAGAAGTCCTTTTAGCATTCCATTCTACACTGTGAAAATGGGGAAAACAGATAATAACCACGCTCAATTCATATATAACGGAAGGGAGCCGGCGTAAAAATTGAACAATGGGCGTAGCACCGCCCACTTTTAGGTGAAGTCCTATATCTCAGAAACTATTAAACAATTTTCAACTAAATTTTGTGTGTGTGAAAGCATCTCTTTCTAATAATATTATATCTTCTTGCCTGTGCTTGTAAATAATGAATGCAATACTTCCTACTATTTTTTTTAAATACATATGAAAATCCAGTATATTACTTTATCTTGCGAGACCACAAAATGTTCGGTTACACCTGAACTTAAAATTTCCTTATTTGTTTACTTAAGACGCATTCTTTCGAAAAAAATTGTTTTGCCCAGAAAAAATCAAATTTATAGTATATCGTAATAGTAGATTCGTATGTGATAGTTTGACTTAGCTTACAGAACTGCTGTTTTTATCTTTATCTGTTAGTATCCATGGAAACTACTTAAAACTTCCAAGGATACCGAGAACAAAGAACTTGGACTTTTTAATCGAAATAATTTAATGAAACTTAAACTCGATTTCTGGGATAGTCTTCAGCTCTTTCAGTGAAGCGTTTTTATTGTTATCTATGCATGTAAAACGACGGCCCTTTAAGGTTCTCTTTAATTTTGGAAAGGAAAAAGTCACACGAATCCATGTCTGGCGAATATGGAGGCTGGGCCATCGTGTCAGTATTGTTTTTAGACAAGGATTCACGACAAATTCGTTGATCTATTTCTTTAAACAAACGAAAATCACCAAGTTCATAAAAACATGTCTAACCTTAGCGACTACTACAGACAAAGTAAGAAATCAATACAGCTGCAAATTTTATCGCACTTCAAGGACTCTAAAAAGAGTTATATGAAACATATCTGTGAAAAGCAATTATAGAAAATATGGGTGAAAATATTAAATCCTTTCACATAAGACGCCATTTAGTATTCCGCTCTAGGTGTGCGAAGTTTTAATGGTATTTTTTGGGTTTCTGCATGTATTTTAAGGACATGATTTTCGTTATCCCTATTCCAAAAGTAAAATAATATCTAATAACTGAATATAGTTTCCTCATCTTTTTTACTTCGATTAAAATAATTTATTTTACAATATATTTGAATTTTTTCTAAATCTTCTGAATTTCTGATTCAATCGAAATAAGAAGTTGGGAATTTTATTTAATGAAATGAAACCGTAATACATTCCGTCAGGTTATTTCAGCCACTGGCAGCTGTGCAGTTCCTAGGTAGTGATGGTCCAGAGTAAAACATAAGAGGTCTAATTAGCTATTCGACCTCAGCAAATTTCACCACTGTCCGATTGGCATTCACAAGGTAAGATTTTACCGTAGGCCACTTGTAAAAGCTGCTTGGAAGAAGCTGAGATTGAATTATCTACACACTTCCTTCTCGAATGTCCCGTCTTTGTCAAATCAAGGTTAAAATACCCTGGATTTCATACTATTAGACATTCAGATGAAATAGCGTAAATAGAAATAAGCCATCTAAGCAAAATTGTGATAGGTTTAAGGCGCTTTGTCAAGAGTTACTATGAAATAAGAGTTAATGTGCAACTACAGTCGTTTTATCTGGCTACACAAATATCTATACAAGTATGTAGCAGTCTAAGTGTGATTTCACTTTGGGGGACTTTTTCATAAACCTTCTAAATTGATCATCTCTGCACCCCTCGGTCGGTTGACGCGAGAAGTGTAATTGTTGTAGTTATTATTATTCAAAAATATACTAAAAATTAAAAAGACTTAATTTAGTAATTTATCGTTTTCTTTCACTATTATTAAAAAGTTAATAATAACAATTCAAACGAATGTCACAATTTCACGAGTCTGTTCACAAATTGATGCTTATAACAAATTCCAAATCTCTATTAATCCACGTACAAATAAACTTAAGTGGCTTCTAGCGCTTAATTAAATTTATAAATTTAAAAATAAGCAACAACAAAGCGCAGATTCACTTCTATGCAATACACACATAATGACACACTTCTATAAAATCTCTCAATAAACCATAAGTGGTGGCTTGACCTGCACCAATGTCAGCGCTACAACAATGCCGGCAGCAAATGCACTTTGTGGCATACACCGACGCCTCATCGCTTGCAATCGAAGCAGAGCTTTGTTGATGAATAAGTCACAGCTAGTTGCTCAAGCACACTGCAGCACTTCAGCGTTCTGCTTATCTGAAATTAAAATTATTTGCATAAATTGCTCGACATCTCGTGTCTTATCGGTGCACAATAATAAATACACAATAAAACAAAAACAAAGTGGCTAACCCCAAAGTGACGAGTAAGCGCCACTAAGGTTGAAGAAGCTGTTGCAGCCGGTGCAACGGTAGAATGGTAGAATGATGGGCACACATAAATACACCGAGTGCCTGTCATGAGTGGCACTTGTGCTTGCCACACAGTAAATTTTGTGCAGATAATTGTGCGCCGATGCACTTAACCGATGGCCCAGAGCAGCAAACTGTGGTCGATGGCGGGCGTCAGGGCCGAGATGCAGGGAGCGCGTCCCCAGCATGTTTCGTTAATCTTTGGCGTGCTAGGAAGCAAATAGATGTGCAGACGTGACCAACGAGGAGAAGGAGAAAGTGCGTGGGGCATGCCACGAATGCCTGGCAAGGCATCGATGTCACTGTGGCAATGTTGACACTGGGCGGCAATGACAGTGACAGTGGCACTAACTGTGGATACTGTCGACAAACAAGCGGTGCAGTCGTTGAGACACACGCATACACATATGTTATACACTTACGCAGTTAGATAAACATAAATGCGAGTATGCAAATGGAGTCCAGCTCGGTTGCAAGGGATTACGTTTTAATCATATGCGACATTTAAGGGCACCGGCCAGTCCGTCCTTCGGTGTGGCACAATTGAGCGACTAACCGCCTCAAGTGACAACGCATGCACACACACTCATTTAAGGAGCAGAATGTTGTAAGTACATATGTGTGTGTGTTATATGCGTGTTATGCGCATGTTAACATTGTGAGCACGCATGTGAACAAGTGTTGGGATTGTGTGTTTGCATTTCCGTGCATCTTATTATGCGGCTCCTTGTACATCTGCGTTAGTGTGTGTGTGTGTATGTGCATTTGGAACCATGAAGCAAATTAAGCGTTTAATAAGTTGCCAGCGGCTCACACGCACAATCGACATTCAGATATAATTGGCACCCGGAGGCGAAAGTGTTGCTGACACAATTTGAAGACGATCGGGCAATCAGTTCGGCAGTCGCTCCCGAAATTTAGTACTGCAATTTAATGCTACCTAGTTGATGTGTGTTTGTATGAAAGTAATTTAATTTTGATATTGTCTAAATTAACTGTAAACACCATATACAAACATATATGTATGTAATTTATAGGTATATGTATGTTTATGTTTTGATTTGCAAGCAGATTGTGTATCACCTATTACAATCTAATTGCGCTGTAATTGAGGTTTTCAGTTTTGAAGTGTTTAGATCGAATTTCCACTCTAAAACCTCCTACTACTTTAAAAATTATGGTTTTAGCTTGAAATTTGTAAACTATAATATATATAAATAAATACCTGAAAGGGAAAGTGGTTGAGATTTAGTGGAATTTTCAAGCAAGTGTACGGATATAAGCCGACATTTTTGCTGTGATCTAGACTTAAAACATGGATTAACCAGTCTTTGGCGTAAAAATTAAGTGTAGCAGATGAACTAGCCAGAACAGGCACCATCCTACAACTAGTTTCTGGTAAATAGGGCATATATTGTAAATGCTTCTGGCTACTAGATACTTAATCGACAAACATGTCATAAACATAACAGTCTCAGTGAAATCAGTCCCTGACTAGCTCAACAAGCAGACAAACGTGGCATGAATGGACTATGAGCGGCCCATGCCGAATGTTAAAATTCAAATGGAATGATATAAGAACTCTAGTAGGAGGAGTACTAACAGGCTACTGTTTAATAGGCAAACATGCAAGTAGACTTGGAACGCCAAATAACGACTATTATAGAAGCTGTCAGGAGGTAGAAGAGGAGGACACCATATTAAACATTTTCAATGCGATTGCACGGCTCTATATAAGAAAAGAATCGCAGCCATCGGTCGAGGGTTTCTTGACGACGTCTCGGAGGTTGCACGGAGAAAACTTGTCTTACTGATGAATGTTCATCAGAAGTACGGGGTGGTACAGAGAGGAGGAAATAGAGTGAGGGGACCTTGGTCCTGGCGGTATCACAATGGGCCTTATAAAAGCCTAGGTGTGTCGAGAGACAGCCACTCTACCTACCTACCTACCTAGGGATAAAAAAAATGTAAAGTGATTTATACCAAGCCGCCCGAACGGACAGACTGATCTCAGTATTTTATGCTATTAGCAGGCATAATACAATTTTACAATAGTCAGGGGAAACACATACCAAACATTCTGGTATTGAGTTTTCTATCGCAGTCTTAATTGATGTATATTTATCAATTGTATTATATTAAGTAATTCGTTAAAACATATAATTTTAACGATACTAAGGATTTTGTTAATAAGAAGCGAACACTCCTAATATCTAGTATTGCATTTTCTTGACAATTGACATTGCTCTGTGTTTTATGTGGCAACTCTTATTCTTAATACCGTTTACGATATTAAAGCCCAAATCAGCTGCTTTTGACAGCCGGTAAATATTTTGTAAATGTTTTTTAGTACCATTGATATTTGCATTTGTATTTATTGAAAATATTTAAATATATTTATTTTTGTATACATTTTATTTTTTAATAATGTCGAATATAGTGCAGTATATTATTGTGCGTAGTGATCTGCGTTCCAGCTTGGGGTGGCCATTGGGCGCAGTGATAGCTCAATGCTGCCATGCGACAGGTAAAGGAGTTATCCTAAATTTCCAATGCTTTCCAATTATGGCCAGCTTACAAGTTGCTGAATCTAGTTTTCAGTTCTTTTCGGATAATAGTAAATTGATTTTTGTATTACAGCTGCCATAACGCATTTGTATGCTGATGATGAGGACACCATTTCTTATTTAAAGGACTTAGATAATATGCATAAAGTGGTGTTGGAGGTGAGTGCTTCACATATTCCTATTATATTGTATTCGTTTATTGTTGTTTTGTTTACATAGGCTAAAGATGAAGCAGCGTTAGTGAAGATGTCTGAGAAACTAAAAACAAATGAAATTAAACATAAGCTATGGATAGAACAGCCAGAAAATATTCCAACGTGCATAGCAATTAAACCCTATGTTAAAGACAATGTGCATAAGTTTGTTAAAAATCTAAAATTGCTCAAAGAATAAATATGAAAACGTAACGGTGGAGTGACGAACTGGTTGTTGTAATTAATATTTATATTCGCTGTATCTAACAAAATAGCAAACATATGATATGAGATTCTTTCTATAACACCAGCTAACTATCGCTAGCTAGCCAAGTTTCTGCCGGAAAAGCGTTTTTTAACCCAAAAACTAGCAGAAGAGAGCACAAGCTGAGAACGTAAAAAGCTAAGAGAGTTAAGGTACAGACCTATTATTATTTACGGATTCTATTTCTTAATAATTAAAATTTCTCAAATTATTTTGGAATACGATCGAGTTAACACTCCTTGGCCGGGTTCGTTTCCGTTACGTAGACGCGGGAGTCGTAGGAATGGTCTAGATTACCAAATTAAAGTCTTAAGTGTAGGTTAGAGTCATCTGCATCGAAGGTACTTTTAATTTATCAACATTCCTAAAAGACGTAGCGAAATGATGTATGTACTGGTTTACAATAAAATAACGTAAGTTTGAAAATTTGCTTTTTAAATAATTATGACTTATTTTCCATCGGTACAATGACCTAACAACCTATCAACCTATTTCAAGAAATGAAAGTTATGCGATCATTTGTGGTTTGTTATATATATTTAAACAGTAAATATTTCGAATATTAAAAATATTAATTACATTAAAAAAGTGTTGTCAAAACAATTAAAAACTACGAATGAACAATACAAGTAAATACAAGTTTGTTTCCTTATACATATGCGAATTAATGCAGTATATTTACGTATATAAATGAATCTATTGTAACTGTATATAAATAGCTGCTTTAGCATTAAAGGTCATCATAATCGAAATGATAATAATTGTTTTTATGAAATTTTTCGTCATTTCTTAAATATTCGCTGTATTCGTACACTCTTTTTTAACGTTTGTTATTGGTGGTAATTGTGTAATATAAATTTGTGTATATATTTATAAACAATATACATGAATAAATAGCACCCGTTTTCGGAGTGATTTGGTTCATACAATAATTATGTAATATTATTCTAATTGTGTTAATTCGTTACGGCACTGTTTCCTTTTACTCTAAATATAATGCACATTACTTATATTAATATTGTTCTCTTAAATTATATATAAAATGTTTTCAACTGTCATCGGTATAAATAAGAAACTAACATTTATATATGTATGTGTATGAGTGTAGTTGCTCGGTAGTAATTTTAGAGATTCGGCTCGACATCGCTTAAAGCTGCACTTTTGTTGACATTTACAGAATAGTTTCAATATCGTTTTTCGATATTACGATCAGCTGCAAATAATGGTTTTGTGCATTCTAATTTCGTGCAGGTCTCTGAATCGCATTCAGTTCTTCTTTTAACCACTGCTGCCAATTTTCCTAGAAAATGTATTATATAAAAGAGCAATTAGTTTTCGACAGTTGAAATTATTTTTGTTCAAATACAAAAAAAAAAAATTATAATAACGGAAAATTTAATTAAATTAAGAGCTAATGTTTAAAAGATCGAAAGAAAAAATTCTAACAACGAAATTAAATCGTGAAAAATAAAAATAGTGAATTGAAAGTATTAAAAAATTATAACAAGCCAAATAAAATAATTTAAAAATTAATTATCTACAATTTTTTTTTTAATTGTATTTACGTTTTTCAAAGTAAGGAGAATCCGCAACCAAAAATAACTGATTTTGAAACCGTGGTTCACAACACTTAAGCCATAACCAAATAAAATACTATATTAGCACTTAGAGTTAGATTTACAAATATAAAACAAATGTGTGGATAAATTATAATTATTCAAAAATTCATACAAAAGCGTTGGGCAACTAGTATGTAAAAAGAACTAAATTAAGTTAAAACTATATAATTTAGTATATTAGCATTTTTAATAAGCAAAATAAGCAAAACAATGTCATTTATATTAATTTAGCAGCAAAGCTGTACTGGGTGCCAGTTTTAGTTTTGGTTATTACAAAGTGCTTGTTTTTTCGTGATTTTTAATCATCTCTTGAATCATTGCTTCAAGTTCTGGTTTTAGTCATTATTGTGCAGATTCTCTGCATATTCATCGTATTCCTCTTCAGCCTCATTCTGCTCATCTTCCTCCTCCTCCGCCTCGTAGTCGCTAGTGTTGCTCTCAGGCGCTGTCACATCGGGCAGGTAGTCTTTGTGCACGGGTGTGGAGATAACCGGCTCCTAGAGATGAGTTAGATTAGTGTGCATATGTGAGTGTGTGTAAGGCTTTACTAGTAAAAGTGCAAATATAATAGCTAATTACTGTTAAGTTAGCTATGTGTTACGGTTGGTCTGCTATATTACTAAACATGCAACGTTTGCGCTTTGTTAATGCTAATAAATCCGTGAAAATTTTGAAAACCAACACCAACACAAGAAAACCAAATTTTGAATTGTAATAAATATACATATATTATATTTTAAATATTATTGTCCACTTCATGCTAACCTTGGGTGGTCGCCAACCACAACCCGGCAGTGGCAGGCCATCAGAGCCCAGCGGGCAGGGCGCGTCCAGTCCCGGTACACCCTGCTCGCCCTTGTCGCCGCGATCACCTTTGCGTCCACGTTTGCCCGGCGGTCCGGCATCGCCGCGCGAACCCTTCTCGCCACGTGGTCCCTCCTGGCCGGGTATGCCATCGGTGCCCTGTTTTTATTAGCGCCAGTTATCCCAAAAACAGTTGTGATTTGGCATACACACAGAGTTAGAAATACCAATACAGTTACACATTGAGACACGTTCATACACGTACGGGGGAAAGGGAGTCAATAGCAAATCAAACAACGGTTTTACGTTTTACAGTTGATTATATGTAGGTATGTGTACGGTTATGTTATTGTATTTTCCAATACACGGGTACGTTTTTGTTGTTGTTGTACAAAGTGCAAATGCAACAGAAGTAAGAAAAAATAAATAGATTGGGAAATATGTAGTGTGTGCTAAAACATTAAGTATAGATGTAAGTGGCAAATAAAAATGATTTGAAGTAAATATGTGTAAATATTTGCACGAAGCTGTCTTGTGCCCTTTAGCATGCAGTTTTAAGTGATAAATAAAATTAACAAAGAAAACAAATAATACAAACATACACCATTTAGAAGTACTAATATTCTTGTAGTTTAACCGTTATGATCATTTCTTTTACTCACCGGTAAACCAGGATCGCCGCGTTCACCTTTGTGTCCAGTTTCGCCCTGAGCGCCCTGAAAGCGAAAGGTTGTCATTATTAATGCATGTAATAAGGCTTTTATTTGAATTTACCTTCATGCCATCTAAACCTGGTGGACCCTGTTAGGTTTGAAGACAAGAAAGCAAATATTATTTTTTTATCAGAAGAGATATAACAGAAATTATTATATATTTTGTGGAAATATATATAAAACGATACTAATTGTTTATTTACAAATATATTTATGGTTATTTTATTATTATTATTTTATAAAAATAATGCTGTCGCGTGGTTTTGGATTTACAATCAATACATTGTACCGATACTGGTGTCAAATATTATATAATATAAAATTTCTCTTAATTCACGAATTTAAGTGTTTTATAATTTAGTTAAGTGTTGCTGTTTTAATCGAAATGCCGTTATTCCATTACGAAATCCAAATAAAATTTGCGATCAATAATTAAACTAAAATGTTTTATTCCTGAAGACACTTATGAGTGTTATGAATAATAAAACAAGAAAAAAAAGTTTACCTCGGTTGCACCGAAGCTAGAATACCCTTCACAAATACAAAAGATTCCTTACAAGAACTTTGATCGTTAAGTTTGCATGGCAGCTAAATGCTAAAGTGACTCGATCTGAACAATTTTTTCGGATATTGCACCGTTACCTTGGATAATAACCCATACTTAATTTAGTAATTATATCTCGTCAAATGAAAAAGTTTTCAATACAAGCACTTCGTTCCGATTGTTCAATTTGTATGCCAGCTATATGCTACATATAATGGTTCGATATCAGCCATTCCGACAAATGAGCTCCTTGGTGCGAAAAGGGCGGATCCAAAATTTCACATCGATATCTCAAAACTGAAAGTTCGTATATATACAGACAGACGGACATGGTTTAATCGACTAAGCGCGTCGCACTGATCATTTACATATATACTTTATAGGATCTCTAACGTTTCCTTTCGGGTGTTACAAACTTCGGAGCAAACTTAATATAGACTATTCAGGGTATAAACAATAAGTCCCCTTAATAAAAGATACTTAAAAACTGTGCTCAAGACTTTTAGGTATGTTTGCCCATAAAATCAAGAAAAAACGCTAACTTCGGCTGTATCGAAGCTATTATACCTTTTGCAGGTCCATTCCTTATTGCATAAAATGATATAAAAAATCTTTATCTTGATTTTGATCGATCAATTTGTATTGTAGCTATATGCTATAGTGGTCCGATCTGAACAATATATTCGGAGATTGTAGTGCTATCTTGGATAAAAATTTATATTAAATTTCGTGCGGACACCTAGTCAAATATAAAAGTTTTTCTTACAAACACTCGATTTTGATCGATCATGTATTATATATGCTATAGTGGTGCGGTATTGGCGGTTCCGATAACTGATCAGCTACTTGGGGAGAAAATTACGTGTGCAAAATTCAAAAATAAAGGAACTAGTGGTGTATATACGGACGGATATAGCTAAGTCGACTTAGCTCGTCACACTTATCATTTATATATATATATACAAGTACTTTAAAGGGTCTCCGACATTAGGTGTTACAAAGTTCGTGGCAAACTTAATATACTTGTACAGGGTATAAAAATAAACGATTTATTTTAAACTAATAAAAAAATTCAGTTTTTGTTTGAAATTAAAAAAATTTAAACTACTTAATTATTTTTTTTGCAGATTATATAATATAAACCACAAAATCAACATTATATTTTAACAGTTTAATTTTTTTTTCAAATTAAATCCAAAACCAGTCGTTTTTTTCTCCAGTTTAGTTGACTAATTTATATGTGTGTGTGTTACCGGTTAATACTTTTACCCACTCCATGCAGTAGCAATAAAAAGAGTTAGTTGATTATTTGTAAAAAACTCAGTATTTCCATTCTTTGTTTTATTATATTTGCAAATGCACAAAAAAAATATTGGAAAATGTTCACATTAAATATCATAAAACACTTTCACATTTCGTGTTTAGCATAATTTGCATTCATTTATATATATATCATATATATGTATGCATATATATGTACTTCTGCTTTGTTAGTAAATGTTTTTAGTTATTATTTGCTGAAATGTGTTTGTATATCGAATGCTTTGTTTGCGCAAAATAATTGAAAAAAAGAAGTCTGCAAAATGCAATACAAACATACTGCAATGGCGATTTTTAACTCGTTTTTGGCTTTTCAATTGATTTGTAAACATTTATGCGTTGCACAAGCATGGCATGGCGTTTTAATTATATGCTTTTGATATTGTTATCTCTGTTAATTGTAGATATTTATGCATAAATCGACATTTAGAAATACAAATTACACTGCTACACACAAACATTAGTTTACCATTTTAAATATATGTATAATTAATTATGTATAATTGCAGAAAATAAAGATACTTGTTAACAATATACAATATTTATAGGTTTTGCTTGCATGTTTGTTATTAAATTTACTGTTATATATTTTTCTGTTTATATTTATTTTTTTTTGTTTTTTGTTTTTTGTAATTTAGTATAATTATTATCTTTAAAGGTATTTTTTGTTGGTTTTTACTTCATTATTCTAGCCTAGAACTAACAAAGAACACAAGTTCATTTAGCATTTAAGTATACATATATGTATATACATATATAGGTATATTAGCGTAAGTAGATGTGAGAAGTTGATACATTTTGAAGTAAAATGGATTGAGCGTGTTCGAAAGTAGTATGTTTGTTGTGATTAAGGAAAAGAGAGAGCGTTCTTTGTTGAGTGAAATTTTTGGACGTTTTTACATAGGCAAAAAGGATCGTGCATTCCTTTGCAAACTAGTTTAGTTATTTACAATATTATATATGTAACATATATATATGTATATAAATATTTGTATGTATGTATATTACATGTTTTAAGTCGAAAAAAATGTATATTTTATAGGAGATTTGGAGAACGAGCTAGAGGAATTGACATCGACGGAGATACTTGTTTTTACGCTTAAAACTTTGCCACATTTCATTTATTTTTGTTGTTTGGCAACATTACTAATTGAACTCAATTGACATTGAAACATACAAGGAAATTTCATAATTTTCTTTATAATACACAAGTAATTGCCTTAGTTGCCGTTACTCTTCATAAATACAAGCTTTTCATTATTAATATTATTTTGTTTGTTTTAGTTTCTATGTTTTTCTTGCGCTAAAACTCTCAAACACTCATTTGCTTAGCTAAATCACTTTTCGTTTCAATGTTGTTTTTGCTTTTGTATTATTTATTCTTTTATCACACATATATTTTTATATATGTATGTGTGCATATTTATCTTCAAGCATATTTTTTATAAGCTTAATTTTCAAATTTGATTTTTAAATGTATTTCAATATTTACCATATACATATTATTGAGATGTCGCTGAAACCCATAAGATGTCGAAGATACTGCTTTATCTATTCTTAAATCTCAACTAACAAAATTCTTGTTTTAAAAATTAAAAATTCTAAATATTTAGTAGTTTTTAAATAGAAATGCTTAAATATCGTAACATACGGGGTATGCTGAAATTAGGGTTGCAAATAATGCATTACAAAAAAAAATTTAACTAACATTTACATAAATTTTTTTTTTATTTTGCTATGCCGAAAATCTTAATTTGAAGTAATAATTAACAAATTGCTAATTTAAAAACCGGATTTATAGAAAATAAATTAGTCCCATGTTTTTAATTAAAAAATAAAAATAGTTTTTAAATTTAAAATTTTTCGCGCTTGTGTGTTGTACTATTTTAAAAGTGGAGCTGCTAATAATCTAGAGCAAAGGCCTGCAAATTTACACATTCAAACGATTTTTATTTTATCAATTTTTTATTACAGATTTTTCATTTGAAAATCTAATATTTAGTTCAAAATTTTTTAATTGAAAAGTTCGAAACTCTTGTTGAAATGCAAGTTTAAAATTTTAATAACTTTTGAGACTGTGATCTCAGCAAGGTCTATCAAAATTAATTGGACAAGGTTTTGTGTTTCAAGCACTGAGTTATGAAAAGACAGGGTTCCAAAGAAAAAATAATTAAATTACGATTAATCAATAAATCTCCTCTCAAACTTGCATTAATCAGCCTAACTAATCCGTTATTTTAAATTATACACTCTGTCTACAACTTCAACCACACTACGCTATAAAAATATATACTTATACGAGCAATTCACTGCAAAAGACGTCTTCCCTTTATGTTTGCAATAAACTGGAAGATGCTATCATTTGTCAATTCTAAAAGTATGATCAAACGCCAAAGTCATTGGCATGCGTTTAACGTTCTTTTAAAAACCCCTCTGCTCCATACGCACACGTATATGTGTATCTGTGTGTGTATATTATTGTACAATCAACAATTTTGCTGCACGGTAAATCTGCACTAATGCTCGGACTACAGTTGCTCCTGTCTCAAAGTAAATATTTTCCGTATTCAATATTCGCTCGCCATTAGTAAAAGTATCATTTGCATTTGCTTTTGTTTATGTCACAAATGCTGCTTTAAGCAATATTGTATAATATGACATGTGCCCGTGTGTATGGGAGTGTGTAAATATCGCATGTCCATATTCAATTGCTTTAATAGTATACAATAATTTGTTCCTTTTTCAATTGAAATAAACTATTTAACAGCTTGTTATCTTATGCTTGGCTCTTTACATACATACATCGTCTATCGTCTGTTGGTTTTACAATATTTTTGTATAAGTTTAATAAAATTAGTATTTGCTTAACTATTATATTCATATGTATGTGTGTGTTTGTGTTGTGTGTTTGTATGTGTGGTTGCTTTTTCTAAAGCTTAATTGCTTGGTTGCTTATACGCCTCGGCATGTTCGCATCATATGCATATATGATACATACTTGTATGTATGTAAGTATATATGTATGTACTATATGCAGATTCTTTGTAATTAGATTTCTATGCATGTGTGTGTGTGAATGTATGTTTGCATGTGTGTATGTAGACAAAGCCCATGGACGGTACACAAAACACTTATAAATATTTATGTCACATATGCCAATATTTGGCTGCACGCCCTAATAACTCTGGCATATGTCAATCAATATCTTACCTATGTACGTATTTACATTTATATAAATATTTATATATAGATGTATATGTGCGCAGCTGCACTTCTATTCAAGGTATACAATAAATTAGGAGGAATTTCAAGTAAAGCCATAAATACTATTTTGTTTAACAGTGTAATGTGTGGCAAAATCACGTTTTAAGTTATAAGCTGCTTTTCATATTTATGTATGTATGTACATACCTACTGTTTGTGTACCCATGATGGTAGGCAGTTAGCATTAGAACTTAGCTTATTTTTGTTTGAAAGTTCTAAGAAATTTTTTGTTTTAAGTATGTATTGGTTATTGTTTGTAGGCTTGTAAATGGGTATATTGATATAATTCGGTTAGTTAAATGCATAAATGATATGGTTTATTTTTTTTCAGAGGTTTAGAAAATATATTTTGAACTATTGCGTTGTTTGTTGAAAATTCGTCGTAAATTTAGTGTAGTTTATATATACATATATATACATATGTATGTAAGTATATAGTCAACGACATTGTTTTTCTTCTAGTTTAAAAAATGCTAAACTTAGTAAAATGGAAAGAAATGCGCCTTATGCGCACGATAAGTAACATTTTTTTGAATTTGTTTTCAATATTTTGTCCTTCTTAGAAGCTTTAAACTTGCAACGGACCTTATTAGTATCCACAAATATATATTACTAGCTACCTATCGTTTCAGTGATTTTTCATTCACGAGATCTTGAATGATATTTATGAACTGAAGTTGTGATTAAACAGGGCACGAAATCATCTTTTTAAACAAATTTTGCTGTGTAAAAGCTTTTCAGGAAAATTATAATTTATGTTGTTATATATCTACCAAATAACTTCTTTTCAATAGCAATTACGGGTTTTACGCTATTTTGAAATGTGCAGAAAATTGTGTCGAACAAATTATACAAGTATTATTCATAATGTTATAAAATGTTTCGACAAAATTTTTAATTTTTTTCGTATTAATTTTGATTTTGAAATATTGGTGGTTTTCGATTCACAACTTCGCACAAAAAAGTTACATGTTACCAGTTAAACTCCATACAAGAAACCACATTAATATGGTATAACCACTTGTTGTTCTCTTTGTATTTGCTTATACCAGTCTATCACCATTTATATCAGTTGGTTAGTTAGTTGTTCGATTCGCCATTCTTAAGTTATTAGTTTTAGAAGTATAACTCTACTTTATTGAGTTATATTTTTTGGACTGAGACCTCGCTTTAAACTATTTACACTATGCCGATGCCATTCTGTAGATCTCTATAGTAAAATGATGGCCGATCAGCGCGATATGTAGAACAGTCACTGTAAGATAGGTGAGAGAATCGATAGGTAGATTTACACTTTTGTAATTAGCCTAAAAGTCTGTGAGAAGCACCGAAATCATTTAACGAAGTCTAACGTTCTTCAAATGCTTAAATATTAAAAAACCGTTACCTAGCGATATGAAGAAGAATATTATTCACCAACTAAAATGTTTCATTAAAGTTTTTACCACTAACTTTGGTGCAGCATATTTATGGTTTATGGCAGAATACGAAGGAAACATAGCAAAATTGAAACTTGTGCTGCATAAAAATGTGAAATTAAATTCTTTAGGAATACGTTCTGCTGATGTGATTGAGACATATTTACACTTCTCAGAAATGCTCTTAATAAATATTTATATGCTTAGGCTTAAGTACTTAAGTTTATATTTGTTTCTACAAGAGCATACATATGTATATATGTGCCGTGTATGTGTATCTAGTTGCAAGTTGAAAGCTTGTAGTTTGCTGAGTTGGAGTTCGGGAAGTTCAACTGTAAGCTATTAGCAATTCTTTTGTTCTCAGTGATTTTGTGGGAATTTGTAAGGTCAAATAACAGTAAGCACAAACCTGACTTTTGATTTCGGAGTGTAAATATGTTTGTATGTATTTTGGGATATCTATTCTTATTACTTTCGATTTTGCTAGCATTTCTGATTTTTCACTGCGTTTGGGTCACAAATTATATTTGCATATCCATAGTTTTGGTTCTCGAAGTACTTAAGGTCTTTAGTGTGGCATGTGGCACTCTTTGCACGCACATATATGTTTATTTATATTGTTTGTGTGTGTGTATTTGAAATTGTTTGTATGCATGTAGGTATTAGTGTAGCAATATTTTATGTTGTTTGTTGCAAGTTGTATGTTGTGCGTTATGTATTTGTTATTGTATTTGCTGTGCGCATTTGTGTTCATTGTTGTTGTCATATGAGTATGTGTGTGTGTATGTTGCATTAATAATTTGTTGGCATTGCTTTCAATTTATATGCTATTTTGGCGTTTCATTAACTTCGTTTCAGTTAGCGTTTTTTGTTTTGTTTTGATTTTTGTTTTTACTACTCATTTATTGTTAAGTTTGTGTGTGTTTGCCTGTTTAGAATTAGTAGCCCCACACCTGTTAGAAGTAAAAAGAGAAAAGAAGAAGCACACACATTATGTTTACCATTTTGTTAGACACAGTTAAAATTTGCGGCGTTCGAACATTAGTGAAATTATTAAGTAGCAATCTAACATGAAATTATAAATTTGGAAATACAACAAGTTTAGTATACATTAGAGCCGATTAAGTTGGGAAACATAAATGTTTTGTGTTATTTTAATTTTGTGCGCAGTTTTTGCCGAAATAAATATAATGAAAATAAAAATAAAATAATTGCTGAAATCACTTACCGGTAAACCAGCTTTGCCAGAGGGACCCACTGGACCAGAATCGCCACGCATACCCATTGGACCCTGTAGGAAATTCATATATTGGTTTTTATAAATGAAATCAGAATTTATACAAATAATTTCAGTGGAGTTCAGATACGAATTCTTTACTCTCATTTCATATAAATAACTTTTTCTTTGCATATTTCATTGAGTATACATTAGAATTCGGCACTAGTTCAAAATTTAAGCCATTGGTTAGCCTTAAAAATTTTAGCATTCAAAGCATAAACTAAAAGGAAGGAAATTATTTGAATTTGATGAGATAATGACAAGAATGATAATGAACAATTTATGCTTAATGGATTTAGATCTGCACCTCCACGCCATTATTTTCCATACAATTTCATTAAACTTGTCTTCACACAGCCGAAAAGTTTACACAATTTTACTACTTTTCTTAAAATTTTCTGCTTACCGGTAAACCCATTGGTCCTTGGTCTCCCTTTTGTCCCTTATCACCCTGCAAAATGCGCAATGAGTACAGAAAGTTATTAGAAATTAATTTTCAATATTTTCTCAAAAACTTGATCAACTCACCGAATCACCCTTGCGTCCATCCATGCCACGTTCTCCATGCTTACCTGGCTGACCGGGTGGACCCATTGGACCGGGGGGTCCAGGTGGACCATAAAGCTAATTCACAAATAAAGGTGAGAACAAAAAGAAAATTAATTTTAGTAATTGTTTTTCGAAATCATTTCGTAAACAGATTTTATTAAACTTACATATTCAATGGTTGGCATATGTGGCTGATCTGACATTCCCTCATCTTGTCGCCGGCGCATTTTTCTATACTTCTAGTTGAAATGTGTGATCAATATGACATCGAGTGGCAATTGAAAGCAGCATTATATTATACTCACTGAATCACCGCGGTCACCCTTATCACCCTTCACACCCGGATAGCCGGGTGGCCCGGGCAGTCCTGGTGGACCCATCAGACCAGGCGGCCCAATATCGCCACGATCACCTTTCTCACCGGGTGGTCCCTGATAGCCGGGCAGACCAGGCGGCCCCTCAATGCCGGGCTCACCAGGCAGACCATCTAGACCACGTGGTCCCAGCGAACCAGGTTCGCCGGGTTCGCCCGCATCGCCCTTAGAGCCATCACGTCCATCGCGTCCGTCCTTGCCAGGCATGCCCGGTGGACCGGGTGGCCCACGCAACAGTTGTACTGGTGGATCATCATAGTCCTCATCTTTAGCGCCGCCGGGTCCGAAAATCTATTATGAAACGTGGCGTTCAGTTTGATTCGTTGTTGTTAGTTCAGATGGATGTGGATTCCATTCCAATTCGCAGGAAGTAGCGGTGCAGCAGCAGCCAGGTGGGAGAGTAAAAATAATAATTTTGTGAAGTGACAACTCAGTTGGTTGGCTTTTGAAAGAGCGGTTAAGCGTGTTAAAGTGCAGCGTAAGCGCGCGTGCGCGTTCATGTGCACCTTAGTATATATAAGTACGTGTGTGGAAGTGTGTGTGCGCTAATATTAGACTGGTAAGCCGGTGGGGCTTAGTGCTCTTTTACTTTTTACTCTTATGTATGTCTACCTTCCATTTTAGATTTGTGATATTTGTTTTAATAACTTTTTCTTGCTTCAATTTAGTAAAAAGCATATTAACGCTACACTACAATAAAAACAACAGCAACATACTACAAATAAAATTATAACAACAAAATATGAAACTTAAAAGAGTCGAGCTTAGAGTGCACACAGATTCTTCTGCATGTGTGGCAGCCAGCTTCAAGCATTTAAGCTCTTGATGGGTGTAAGTATGTGTGAGTGACGATCGCACTGCTACCACAATGTGTGCGAAGTTTTACGCAAGTGCACTTGGGTTTCGTCTCCAATTTTTTTGGGGTGTCTTCTAATGGCTTTTGTTCAATTTTCGTACTTGAAAGAATATTTCTTGGTATGTGGCAACCACGTAAAAATCGACATAAAAATGTGTACCTTAGGGTAAATTGTTGCACGCAAAGTAACTGTTGAAGGCAGAAGAAAGCGCACGAAACCACAAAAGTTGTCCTTGGCACCCTGTATTGCAATGTTATGCACTACATAATGTATACGCCATGTCGTCCCCATCTCATTCCTCGCATTTTAATTGCAATTCTCTTTCTTGAGCTGCCACACTCTGGTGCACAATCGCTTGAAAATCGGCATGGAATGGATTTTAAGTTATTAAAATCTTCCTCCTATGTAGGTATTTACATATATAAATACATGTATTTACTTACTTATATGAAAAGGAATAGATATGTGCAGCGCATTTATTCATAAGATAAGTTCACACTTTTTGGGGCAGACAACCGCACGTGACATGAAATAAATTATTCTTTTTTTTTTAAAGAGATACCAAATAGACACAGGCAAGATATATGCATAAGCGAACACATACATATACATATACGTATGCGCGTAGTGGCAAATTAGTTGCACTTACTGTTACTTTGTTGGCTTTTTGTAGCCCAAGTGTGCTCGAGCCATCAGCAGCTGATGTGGCACGGACAGCAACAGTGTGACTTTGTTAAGGTTGCAAGTGCAAAAAACCGTTATCCAACAAATATGCGCTATATATGTGTGTGCCTATGCGTGTGTGTGTGTAAGTGTGGTTGTTGGGGCACTGTGCGGCACTGATGTGCCTGTTTGCCTTTTTGTGTCAACTTGTGGCGAAGTACTTGTGAAAATGTTTAGTGCAATTCCAGGCGAAAGAACAAAATATAATACACAACTACATTCAAATGCACATATATTGTTGTATTACGAGTATTGCCGCAAAAACAGAAAATTTAACGCTCTACTAAGGAGACACATACCACAAACACATACAAACAAATGAGCAATATTACCTACTACCAACACCAAATAAGAACAAAAGCAAAATCTTTTAACATAAAACCACATACCGTTATCTCTAATACCGCCATCCATACATAAATGTATTCAGCCACGTGAATATTAATAAAAATTCATACAAAAAAACTCTCCAACACGTACACATATACATACACTTAATTATTAAAGCGTAGAGAGAGGAAAATGCAAAAGTAACGGTATTGCGTCAATAGTAAAGAATAACTAAAATAATAAGTAATAAGAGCTTTTCATAGTGTTTGTAAAGAAAAAAGGAAATATTCCTTAAGCGAACTTGAATCCGATCGTTCAGTTTGTATGTCAGCTATATGCTATAGTGGTCCGATATCGGCAAACGAGTAGCTTCTTCTGGAGAAAAGAACGTGGGCAAAATTTCATGTCGATATCTCAAAAACCGAGTGACTAGTTCGTGTATATACAGACAGATGGACAGACGGACATGGCTAAATTGACTCAGCTCGTCATGCTGAATATTTATATATGTCTATAATTTATATGGTCTCCGACTTTTATTTCTGTGTGTTAAAAACTTGGCAAACTTAGTATACTTTATCCAGGGTATAAATATAATAAGCATCTTCGATTAGCCACTTTTCTGCTCGCTACATTTGAGCGCAGCTCTATTGAATTCAAAACAAGATATTATATTTTTAAATTTAGCATTTTATAATAGAATGTATTAGGAGAATACCAAGTAAAGTTTTCCCATATATCATTGCTACTTATTCACATAGATAGAAGGTCAATTAAGATCTTTAAAATCATAGAAGTAACGGCATTTAGTGGACTAGTACTGAACCAATTTTCTACTAGCGCATTTTTCTACAAAAGCATGAAGCGCGCCTTTCCCTTAATGTTTAGTTATGTATGTATATAAACAAAATTATATACTATACAACCGACGACTAAAACCATTTCGCAATTGTCGGATGGAAACAGCAAACACGCAGAATTGCTCTATGGAGTCAATGGAAACCGCAAGGACAAAAGCAATTTCCACACATATACGTTAAGCTGCATTCCTAGATGTTGCACGTTATGGAACATGAGTGCCACACAACACTTGAGTATGCATCGGGCTGCTTCCTACATAGCTGTTTATGCGTAGATGCTTTGCTGGTGGCAAGTGGCAAGTCGTAAACGGCAGCTAATGCATTAGCGGCTGTATTGGCAAAATGAAGATTCAAAGGCGAAATTGTTGAAAGGGGAAAGGGGGTTGTTGTAAAGGGAATTTCATAAAATTTAACTCAATTTGTTAAAAAAGAGTGGTTAATATTTAGGAAAGCTATTGACATTTTCATATTTAGGAAAGCTAACTTCATTTTACGATCGATTGGATGGATTCTAAGCACACAAATTTATATCGCATACAATGAATGGGTAAGGAAGCCATTTAAAATTGCAAAGATCCGCTGAAACTGATCAAGCATGCATCACTATTTTTCCACATAAACCGAGCTGTGAATATTAAGACCGAAGCACCGTTAGTGACCAATCTAATAAAACAATATTTTGTAGCGGTGAATATTGCAACCACGCGCTCGCCGAAGAATCTAATAAGTAGTCAACATGCCACTCACAAACGCATAGTTGGCGGCCACCAACACATACATAATATGCACAAGCATGCAGATCGTGTGGTGGAATGTGGAGCGGCTAACGCATTCACCACATGGTGGCGCTTGGGAATTACGAAGCATGTGGGCGTGGTTGTATGCATTGTTGGTTGTTGTTGTTGTTGGTAATTTGGCTTGTGGTTGCGGCTGCGACAGTAATTTACTGTCCTCCACTATGCTGCGCCCTCGAAACGCGTGCCATAACATTCTGCGGCCATGCGTTGCATGCCATCACAAGCAACATGCCTGCGCCAAGAAAACGCTGCAAATTGACACATGTGTGTACATACGTATGCGAGAGTGTGTGTGTGTGTGAGTGTGCATTTGCGGAAACATTACCAGAAACACAAGTACACATATGCTTGCGCACACACATACATATAAGCATAGATAATTTTCGTTATTTCAACGGCGAAGTGGAAGGGAAGGGGAAGTGGTTGTTGTTGTTGCTAGACTTCTTGTTTCTTTAGGTAATGCCGCCGCTAACGCCGTCGCATTGGCATTGTTCTGCTACTGCCATTGTGTACTCCACTGTTTCGGTTTACGGTGAATTGTTGCTAATGCGCCAACGTTTTGCAGCATTCTATATTTAATCTTTTCATTTCCATTCTCATTCTCCTCGCTGTTTTTTGAAACCAGCTTTTTCGCACTTCCGCATCCTGGCGTATCCTGCCTTGTGCCTTACACACACACACACACACACACGCATACACACATATTGTTTATATTACCGTTACCATTTGTTCGTCTGCAGCTACAAAGTTTTCTATTTGTTTGCTGAAATTAGTAACAATTTGTGTTGAATTTTGCAGCAACAATGAAATTACGTGTTTTGTTTCGTTTCACAATGGGCAAAAAGGAAAAAGCAAATAAACACAGAAATATAAAAACAACTGAACGTTCCCTGTTACCTACTCCTCTCTTCAACTGTAGTGCATACTTTGTATGGGAGTTATGTTATGGTTGTACCTCTGCCCATGTGTGTATGTGTGTATGTGGTTGCATAAAGTGCTTATTTCCGGGTTCCCATTTTCAATGCACGTGCCACTGTAGAACAATGGAAGCTCACAAATGAATGTTCGCAAAAGAATTTAAAAAAAATTAGCACAACTTTTGTACATTTTTTCTATTTTTTTTAATGGAAAATTTGCATAAATATTCATGTTTTATAATTACTTGCGCATAAGCACTTTGCATTTTTTTGGAGAATGTATATAATATTAATGTTTGTAGTAGAAAACAGTAAAAAAAGCTTCCAAGCTTGAGAACATCTAATCCTGTATAAATAAGATACTTAAATGGATATTTTAGAAAATTTGATTATTTTGAAAAAAGGTCCGTACCGAACGGCAGCTCAATGCATTCTTCTAAAGCTTATGTAACTTTTTAGGTTTGGAGTAAAATTATGCTTAACAAGCTATTGATATAATAATAGTTAACGAAAGTTCTTCACTTGTTGAGAAACCTATAAGCACAATAACAATTTTAAATAGTTCTAAGAAATATACAAAAGTTATCGTTTCATACCAAAATTCGACAAAATTTTGTCAACTTCTTCTTTCCTGTTAGAAAAATTGCATATAACATTAAAATAAAATCGCGAGCTACGCTTAAGTCGAATTATCACCAAACGAATATATAGAACTCGATTTTGTTTATTCATCTGTTGCAAAATTAACAAGGTTTTTAAATATATGTTATTTGATTTTTGATAGCGCAAAGAAGGGTGAGTGAGAAC